AAGTGGTTGGACAGGATATAACTCCTGAAGCCGACACGTCTCTGTCACAGATGATAGAACTAGGTCTTGGCAAGCACGTGGAGAAGTAAGTCGATGTGTTGCTACATGCTTTTCTCTATGCCTTCATACATACACCTCTTCCCTCTCTTATACCTTATCTCTTCGCTATCTTGTTACAGGTGAAATCCTGATAATTCGAACCTTAAAATGCCAGGAAAAAACTTCTAATTATCCAGACATTCTAATTATCCAAACATGAACCCACAACATAATATGTATGTCAAAATGCTCTCATGGTCACGCACAGTTGCGCTATGGACCTTAGACACAAATTTTACGGACACTGAACTGACCGGCAAAGCCTGCTCGTGCAAACTGAACTGACCAGTACAGTGTACAGTGAACTTCGAATTACACTTTGCTAACTTCGAATTATCAGCACAAATCCCACACATTTTCTATGTAAGTGGAATCTGTGGGACTTCTAATTAACCGGACATGTCCAGTTCGAGGTTCGAATTATCAGAATATTTTATGTGGGAATCGTATTGATAGAAATCGGTCCTGGAAAAACTTCTAATTAAGCAGTATGTTCGAATTAAGCCATATTCGAATTATCAGGATTCCACCTGTATTGGGAAGAAATTCGTATCTTCGAAGTGTCCATAACTCCGAATCACATACATTTTTATGCGGAAAAGGCCATGGATATGATATATGGCGTCACTATTTCCACGAAAAGTGACAGCAGAGTAGTAATATTTTCACTCAAACTTGCCCAACGGGTGCCCGGTAGACCGAAGTACCCGTAACGTTAGTGTTCGGATGACTGAAGTGTGAGCGTATTCAGAAAGGACCAGTAAGTTACGAGTCATGACTAACAGTCCACTTATTTGTCATTTCTCTTTACCTATAATATTGGCTCAACATCAGACTTTTTATAGGTGTATTCCATTACATTTCACACTGTCTGAGTGTTAACAAATTTGAATCCTGTAATAAGTGAATGCATCTTGTGCCGTGTGCAGACTTGAAGAAGTGAGCGCATCGGCAAGCAAGGAACACTCGCTGGAGAAGGCCATGGAGAAGATGAAGGCCGAATGGATCGACATGGAGTTCACCTTCATCCCGTACCGTGACACTGTGAGTCGGTAACAAGCCTTTTAGCCGAGGGGAATCATGCAACTACTGGCGGCGCATTTGAATACGAACAAGTGTGATGGAGAAAGAATTGTCTATGGTTTTGAGCTCACTTCTCAAAGAGTTTTGGAGTAATGATCACGGTGTTTTGGTTGCCAACATTTCCTTCAGAAAAATGTCAAATCAAATGAAGTGATGCTGATGACGATCCATTATTGTGAGGCGAAACGTACCTACATGCAAACTTGCTACATACAGAACTCCCTAAGCCTGGAATCTGGAGAGAGCTGGTGTCCAAATGCAGTGTGGCTCAATTAGAAATGACATGCTTTTATATTCTGTCCTCTAGTACGGGCAGCTGCCCTATCAAAGTGTGTACCTTTACAGACCCTGCTGCGACTCATCCAAGTTCTCTTTTCCTATGCTATCCTGTATTCTTCACTGCTGCATGTTCGTTCCCCAGGGCGTATCAATCCTGTCAGCCATCGATGACGTTCAGGTGTTGCTAGACGACCACATCGTCAAAGCACAGACGATCCGTGGCTCACCGTTCATCAAGCCCATCGAGGAGGAATGCAAGGCCTGGGAGGAGAAGCTTGTGTCGATGCAAGACATTGTGGATGCCTGGCTGAAGGTGAGTACTTGACATGGCTAGTATGCTGCTGGATTCTATTTTTTTATTTTTTTTATTTCACCGTCCAATGGCAGAAGCCAATGCAAAGGAGGCGTTAGCCAGCCATGGCAAGAGAAGAAAAAGAAAGAAAGAAGGAAAGAATATGATAATCCGAAGAAAAGAATGCATCAGCGGGGTGAAATCTATCACTATGTTGACCATGGTGGAGAGCGGCGAGATAAGCTAGCAAAAGAGGCGAGCGAGCCTACAACGTGGCATGACATTTAACATGGTCTATGAACTGTCTAATATTGGATATTATCTTCATTTCCATTCTTGTCTGATCCTCAATGTGTGCACACTATACACAGTATGTACCTGGTGACCATAGTAAATCCAAGCGCACACAGTCGCACTAAGTACTTGGTTACACACAGTCGTACTAAGTACTTGGTTACACACAGTCGCACTAAGTACTTGGTTACACACAAAACATCTCCAGTATTTCCAAATTCAAATTCAATATGTAAAATATATGAAGAAGAGGTTGGTGCGACTTCGGCGATACTGACACACAATTCCCCTTGATATGTAAAATAGAAGAAGAAAACACATGGGAACGAGTTATGAAGCAACTATCCACGACTGTAACAAGATCCGAGTTCAAATTTAATAAAAATAAAATTTCACGGTTTGCGTGAGACTCGGCTGGAAGGCGAGTTTTCCGCATCCGCCGTGGGAACGCCATCACCCTCTAGGATCAAATTTAATACTTATGTTGAGTTCGAAACAGGACGACTGACAACGGGAACAAGTTAGTGGGAACGGCATTTATTATAGACGACGAGACAAGAGACCAAGACGAACGAAACGACTACATTGAAGAGAGAGAAAAGAGAGAGGAAGAGATCAAGTCTGAAGGGCAAGATAAAGGGCCTGGGTAGCTATGGCAAATATGGGCGCGCAAGTAGCTACCCAGGCCAACGGAACAAAAGGAGACAAAAGGTGAGTACGAAAGTGCATGCAGGCCAGCTAGAAAAGGTACGGGAGGAGGTACCTAACACTTAGTATAAATTTTGGAAAGACTGGAGTATATTTTGTGTAGCCAAGGACTTAGTGTGACTGTGCAGTCGCGTGCACCGGCGCCCTTCAAGGGGGGGGGTTGCGGGGGCCTCCCCCGGGAAATTTTTAAAAAAATGAAGCAAAATCCTGCATTTTGAGCGAAAAAAGGGGGGGGGTTCCGAGCACCCAGGAACCCATACGGGGCACGCGCCTGCTGTGTACCCTTGGATTTACTATGGCAATAATAAGGCTACAGGGGAGTTATGCTATTCCTCTTCAGGTTTTCTTCAAGTCTCTAACAGAACAATATCAGTTACATGTACAGAACATTCCTCACACTTTCCTCAAGGACAGTGCACGGTGGGACAGAGAAAGAGATAGAGAATGTGTCATTCTTTTCCAATGTGCTCCGCTGCTCGGATTCTCAGGTTCAAGCAACCTGGCTCTATCTGGAGCCCATCTTCAGCTCCGAGGACATCATGAAGCAGATGCCGGAGGAGGGTCGCAAGTTTGGTGTGGTGGACCAGAACTGGAGGGACATGATGACAAAAGCGGTAAGCGCAGCATCACTATCATCGCCTGCTGTATCTTTAAGTTTTTCCAACATTTCAACGTATCTACCTATCCATCCCGAGCAGAGAAATATTTCTGTTATAAGCATAGTAGCTGTGCTAGCTGTGCTAGCTGTGCTAGCTGTGCTAGCTGAGGCAACAGTCAAATCAGTAATACTATTGAACTTCCCGATTGACAAGGGATGATGAAGGGATGATGAAGTGTCCTTGGTACTGCATCGGCTGAATTAGCCTAAGTTGGTCGGGATCCAGGAACCACCCACAGGCCCAGCCACCTGACCCTGCTTTGATGGTGCATATTTCAACTGGAAAAGGAAGTCAATCTGTAGCCTTGGCTACAGCTTTGTCGGAGTTCATACTGCTGGGTGTGTGTGCGTACGTGCGAGAGTGCGTGTGTGTGTGTGTGTGTGTGTGTGTGTGTGTGTGTGTGTACTTGTAACTTCTGTGTGTGTGAACTTCTGTGCGTGCTTTTGATCACAGATCAAAGATTCTCATGCCCTTGCGGCTACTGGCTTTCCCAACCAGCTGAAGAAGCTGAATGACTCCAATAACTTACTGGAGGAGATTCAGAAAGGACTCAATGACTACCTGGAGAAGAAACGCCTGTATTTTGCCAGGTAAGTTAACTCTTTGACTTGATTGCACCTCCGGGGACAGGTTGTAATTCACTGGATTGCTGGTGTAATCACCCCCCCCCCTCCCCCCCCTCCCCTGCCCCTCCCAACCTTTCTTGATTCCTATCGTAATGCACGGAGAAAATATCAACAGAGTGGGCACAACCACTACAACTGTAGATTTTTATGTGCATTTAAGTTAATACACGATATTGGTGGAAATTACAGTGTTTCCCCGAATATGAGTCGCACCTTTTTACTCCCAACTTCAGGGCCAACAAAGGAGGTTTGACTTAAAATCGAGCCTGATCACTCCTGAAGTGAATAAGTATATGAAAATGGTATGAGAGGGACCTGGAAATGGGGATGCGACTTACAATCGAGGAAATAGGGTAAGGGGCTCCACAATTTATTACTTGTGCTCTGATCGGAAACGTTCACGAGAATGATGACTGCGAATGGTTTCTTCTCCTGCAGATTCTTCTTCTTGTCGAATGACGAGCTTCTGGAGATCTTGTCGGAGACTAAAGATCCGCTCCGTGTACAACCGCACTTGAAGAAATGCTTTGAAGGTACTGGTCATCTGCCTCTGTTTTGTTGTTTGTTTGTTATGGCTGGTAGTAGTAGCAGGACTAGACCTGAAAATCACATTGAGAAAGTGTTACTGAAGTACATGGCTTTCGGAATGGTTGCCTGGATCCCTTTGCTTTCCCGCTTTTTGATTGTGTGCTCGACATTAACAATTTGTCGATCACTGCTATGTATATGGCATCACTCTAGATCTAGACTCTTGAATTGATGACCCAGTTACTGATACCCTTTCCGTGTCTGCCTGTCTGTCTATCTGTGTCTGTCTGTGTCTGTCTGTGTCTGTCTGTGTCTGTCTGTGTCTGTCTGTGTCTGTCTGTGTCTGTCTGTGTCTGTCTGTGTCTGTCTGTGTCTGTCTGTGTGTGCGTTTGTGCGGGCGTGCATGTTCATGTATGTGTATGTACGTAATGATAATTATTATCTCTACCCAACTAGGCATCAATAAGCTACAGTTCAATGATGATCAGGAGATCAAGGGCATGGTCAGTGCGGAGTCAGAGACCGTACCGTTCACGAACACAATTGTGCCAGCTGAAGCCAAGGTAAGCCAGTGATGAGGTATAGAGGTGACCTCGGGCGCCTAGCTTGTGTATAGTCAGCATAGTCCGGGGGTCACCACACCAGAAAATGGTCATCAAAGGTACTACATAGTCGTAATAGGCAAAATGGTGACGATGAGCTTGCCGGTGGTACATGGTCATCACACCACAGATGTGGTTCTGGCACCTGGGCACCACACCACAGACTGTGTGCGTGCTACGCCCCTGAACCTGTGCTACGCCCCTGAACCTGTTATTCATCAGCCGTATCACTAGACTTGTTTGCAAACAGGGCGACCCCATAAACAGTCTTCTGCTGAAATAGCAACAAAGAAGTGCATATCTGCATGGTCTGAGACCTAAACTAATAGTACCGTAGTTCCCCGATTGTAAGTGGCACTGGTTGTGTGCCCTATGAGGGCCACACTTTAAAACTATTAATTCACCTAAAAAAGGTCAGAATGGGTTATACTACGATGGAAGAATGTATGACGATATACAGGCCGGTAGATGTCTGTATTTCATGACCCAACATCTGGAGGCGGCTTATACTCCAGTACAGCTTGTACTCCGGAAAATACAATATATTTTACTTCAAGGACAATTTCATGAGTTGAGATGCTACTTACATGAGCAGTTGAGATGGCTTGCATGATGATTACATCATCAGTTAAGATGCATTGTATGGGATTATGTCAACAGCTGTGATGGTTTCTATGGGATAATATCATCAGTTGAGATGGTTTGTAGGAGATAACATCATCAGCTAAGATGCTCTACATGGAGTGGCAAAGGCGCAGCGCAGCCATGAACTTGTGTTGTATTCTTAGCTCTCAAAAGCGAATCCATCACCTCGCGCTGTTTTCCACATGCCCATAAGTGAATCCGCAGGCTCAAGAGCATGACATTAATAAGCCCACTGGGCAATGACGTAATTTGAACAGCCAAAACTCCACGCAGCCACCTGGGCATGGTCGTTTGGGGTGTTGAACAGCGCACTGTTGATCCTATCGTACTCGGATGCATTGCTCATGCCTTCCATATTTGGCAATGCACAATGGGCCTATTGCATAACTTTTGTATGTTTATGACTGTTACTTGACTGTGGTGCTGTGTAGGGAATGGTAGAGAAATGGCTACTCCAGGTTGAACACACTATGATTGACAGTGTGAGGGCTGTCACGGCAGAGTCTAGGCTAACCTACGCCGACACCGATCGTAGCAAGTGGGTCTTGACATGGCCGGGGCAGGTAAGAGATAGTCAGAAGTGAGTGTGTGTGTGTGTGTGTGTGTACGTGTGTGTGTGTGTGTGTGTACGTGTGTGTGTGTGTACGTGTGTGTGTGTGTGTGTGTGTGTGTGTGTGTGTGTGTGTGTTTGTCACCTTTGTTGGTTCCAGGGTTCATATACTTTCTATTTGAAGTAAACATACCTGTAAACCATGGACTGCTTCTGGCTAGATTAACTCTTGTGTAATCAATGGTGCTAGTGAAGCTTTTATCAGATCCACTCTGATTTAGCCACCCACACTAGTAGCAAGTATTACCTTCACTGGGGGCAGGGGTAACTGCAGTTGGATCCCGGGACGGATACCCTGATACCGTCAATCCTTTTTCTGCACCTTGTCCTACCCCACTTACTGAGGTGTGGTGAGTCCATAAGTGGGATCATTTTCAAGTCCACCCAGAGTTTTGGGGATTTCAGGGGTGTCGGCCGTTGGACGGTTCAATAACCAATTGAGTCATCTTTCCAAGATTCCTTTTGAGTCTCTCTCCCCTCTCCCGGGGGGACTCACGTGACCAGTTTTGGCAGTAAGCAACAAGTACAGTACAGTGTGTGTGTGTGTGTGTGCGCGTGCGTGCACATGTGTGTGTGTGTGTGTGTGTACGTACGTACGTACGTGTGTGTGTATGTGTGTATGTACGTGTGTGTGTGTGTGCTTGAGGCGGACGGGAGTCATCATTACATGCTGTATCGTTACCTGTATTACTTTGCACACGAGGCTGTCAGAAGGAGACGTGCCGATGTATGGGCGAATGGCCTTCTAATCAATCTGTCACGAATCCAAAAACATAGTTTAAATACTTCGAAGTAATTATGTGTCTAATGGCTGTCATACCGCACATGCAGTAGTCAGTACAAATCATATCCTTGGGGCCCGTTTGCCGTAAAGTCGTAGTTTTTACATCATGATTATCTCACTGATTGGTTGAGAGACTCACCTACTCTCCCCTGACTCACTTGTGAGGTCTGCATTCGCCACTCAGGTGTGCAAGGCATAGGCATAGTGGTGGCCTGCGGAAGCGAAGGCTAGTTTGTGTGTTTCCGAACATTCAAGCGATGCCAACGCGAATCCCGCGAATTATTATTATTATTATTATTATTATTATTATTATTATTATTCAAAGGATCAGTCGGGGAAGTGAACTGCCTGAAAAGAGAAAAAACGCCAGACCCACCAGGACTCGAACCTGGGACCCTGCTTGTCATGAGCAATGCTCTAACCACTGAGCTATGGGACCAGGCTGAACCTAGAAGGCGCTGACAAGTTTTTCACTCCAAAGGCAGCTCACAACACGTGCCACACATACTGATGGCACTTGGGTCTTTTTCCCTCCCCCAGGGGACCAACCACGGTCAGTTTCTGGAAACTACCAGAGGTGAAAGAAAGTGATTAAATTTGGAAAGGATTGGGAGAACTTCAAATTCAAAGGATCAGTCGGGGAAGTGAACTGCCTGAAAAGAGAAAAAACGCCAGACCCACCAGGACTCGAACCTGGGACCCTGCTTGTCATGAGCAATGCTCTAACCACTGAGCTATGGGACCAGGCTGAACCTAGAAGGCGCTGACAAGTTTTTCACTCCAAAGGCAGCTCACAACACGTGCCACACATACTGATGGCACTTGGGTCTTTTTCCCTCCCCCAGGGGACCAACCACGGTCAGTTTCTGGAAACTACCAGAGGTGAAAGAAAGTGATTAAATTTGGAAAGGATTGGGAGAACTTCAAATTCAAAGGATCAGTCGGGGAAGTGAACTGCCTGAAAAGAGAAAAAACGCCAGACCCACCAGGACTCGAACCTGGGACCCTGCTTGTCATGAGCAATGCTCTAACCACTGAGCTATGGGACCAGGCTGAACCTAGAAGGCGCTGACAAGTTTTTCACTCCAAAGGCAGCTCACAACACGTGCCACACATACTGATGGCACTTGGGTCTTTTTCCCTCCCCCAGGGGACCAACCACGGTCAGTTTCTGGAAACTACCAGAGGTGAAAGAAAGTGATTAAATTTGGAAAGGATTGGGAGAACTTCAAATTCAAAGGATCAGTCGGGGAAGTGAACTGCCTGAAAAGAGAAAAAACGCCAGACCCACCAGGACTCGAACCTGGGACCCTGCTTGTCATGAGCAATGCTCTAACCACTGAGCTATGGGACCAGGCTGAACCTAGAAGGCGCTGACAAGTTTTTCACTCCAAAGGCAGCTCACAACACGTGCCACACATACTGATGGCACTTGGGTCTTTTTCCCTCCCCCAGGGGACCAACCACGGTCAGTTTCTGGAAACTACCAGAGGTGAAAGAAAGTGATTAAATTTGGAAAGGATTGGGAGAACTTCAAATTCAAAGGATCAGTCGGGGAAGTGAACTGCCTGAAAAGAGAAAAAACGCCAGACCCACCAGGACTCGAACCTGGGACCCTGCTTGTCATGAGCAATGCTCTAACCACTGAGCTATGGGACCAGGCTGAACCTAGAAGGCGCTGACAAGTTTTTCACTCCAAAGGCAGCTCACAACACGTGCCACACATACTGATGGCACTTGGGTCTTTTTCCCTCCCCCAGGGGACCAACCACGGTCAGTTTCTGGAAACTACCAGAGGTGAAAGAAAGTGATTAAATTTGGAAAGGATTGGGAGAACTTCAAATTCAAAGGATCAGTCGGGGAAGTGAACTGCCTGAAAAGAGAAAAAACGCCAGACCCACCAGGACTCGAACCTGGGACCCTGCTTGTCATGAGCAATGCTCTAACCACTGAGCTATGGGACCAGGCTGAACCTAGAAGGCGCTGACAAGTTTTTCACTCCAAAGGCAGCTCACAACACGTGCCACACATACTGATGGCACTTGGGTCTTTTTCCCTCCCCCAGGGGACCAACCACGGTCAGTTTCTGGAAACTACCAGAGGTGAAAGAAAGTGATTAAATTTGGAAAGGATTGGGAGAACTTCAAATTCAAAGGATCAGTCGGGGAAGTGAACTGCCTGAAAAGAGAAAAAACGCCAGACCCACCAGGACTCGAACCTGGGACCCTGCTTGTCATGAGCAATGCTCTAACCACTGAGCTATGGGACCAGGCTGAACCTAGAAGGCGCTGACAAGTTTTTCACTCCAAAGGCAGCTCACAACACGTGCCACACATACTGATGGCACTTGGGTCTTTTTCCCTCCCCCAGGGGACCAACCACGGTCAGTTTCTGGAAACTACCAGAGGTGAAAGAAAGTGATTAAATTTGGAAAGGATTGGGAGAACTTCAAATTCAAAGGATCAGTCGGGGAAGTGAACTGCCTGAAAAGAGAAAAAACGCCAGACCCACCAGGACTCGAACCTGGGACCCTGCTTGTCATGAGCAATGCTCTAACCACTGAGCTATGGGACCAGGCTGAACCTAGAAGGCGCTGACAAGTTTTTCACTCCAAAGGCAGCTCACAACACGTGCCACACATACTGATGGCACTTGGGTCTTTTTCCCTCCCCCAGGGGACCAACCACGGTCAGTTTCTGGAAACTACCAGAGGTGAAAGAAAGTGATTAAATTTGGAAAGGATTGGGAGAACTTCAAATTCAAAGGATCAGTCGGGGAAGTGAACTGCCTGAAAAGAGAAAAAACGCCAGACCCACCAGGACTCGAACCTGGGACCCTGCTTGTCATGAGCAATGCTCTAACCACTGAGCTATGGGACCAGGCTGAACCTAGAAGGCGCTGACAAGTTTTTCACTCCAAAGGCAGCTCACAACACGTGCCACACATACTGATGGCACTTGGGTCTTTTTCCCTCCCCCAGGGGACCAACCACGGTCAGTTTCTGGAAACTACCAGAGGTGAAAGAAAGTGATTAAATTTGGAAAGGATTGGGAGAACTTCAAATTCAAAGGATCAGTCGGGGAAGTGAACTGCCTGAAAAGAGAAAAAACGCCAGACCCACCAGGACTCGAACCTGGGACCCTGCTTGTCATGAGCAATGCTCTAACCACTGAGCTATGGGACCAGGCTGAACCTAGAAGGCGCTGACAAGTTTTTCACTCCAAAGGCAGCTCACAACACGTGCCACACATACTGATGGCACTTGGGTCTCTGGCGTTTTTTCTCTTTTCAGGCAGTTCACTTCCCCGACTGATCCTTTGAATTTGAAGTTCTCCCAATCCTTTCCAAATTTAATCACTTTCTTTCACCTCTGGTAGTTTCCAGAAACTGACCGTGGTTGGTCCCCTGGGGGAGGGAAAAAGACCCAAGTGCCATCAGTATGTGTGGCACGTGTTGTGAGCTGCCTTTGGAGTGAAAAACTTGTCAGCGCCTTCTAGGTTCAGCCTGGTCCCATAGCTCAGTGGTTAGAGCATTGCTCATGACAAGCAGGGTCCCAGGTTCGAGTCCTGGTGGGTCTGGCGTTTTTTCTCTTTTCAGGCAGTTCACTTCCCCGACTGATCCTTTGAATTTGAAGTTCTCCCAATCCTTTCCAAATTTAATCACTTTCTTTCACCTCTGGTAGTTTCCAGAAACTGACCGTGGTTGGTCCCCTGGGGGAGGGAAAAAGACCCAAGTGCCATCAGTATGTGTGGCACGTGTTGTGAGCTGCCTTTGGAGTGAAAAACTTGTCAGCGCCTTCTAGGTTCAGCCTGGTCCCATAGCTCAGTGGTTAGAGCATTGCTCATGACAAGCAGGGTCCCAGGTTCGAGTCCTGGTGGGTCTGGCGTTTTTTCTCTTTTCAGGCAGTTCACTTCCCCGACTGATCCTTTGAATTTGAAGTTCTCCCAATCCTTTCCAAATTTAATCACTTTCTTTCACCTCTGGTAGTTTCCAGAAACTGACCGTGGTTGGTCCCCTGGGGGAGGGAAAAAGACCCAAGTGCCATCAGTATGTGTGGCACGTGTTGTGAGCTGCCTTTGGAGTGAAAAACTTGTCAGCGCCTTCTAGGTTCAGCCTGGTCCCATAGCTCAGTGGTTAGAGCATTGCTCATGACAAGCAGGGTCCCAGGTTCGAGTCCTGGTGGGTCTGGCGTTTTTTCTCTTTTCAGGCAGTTCACTTCCCCGACTGATCCTTTGAATTTGAAGTTCTCCCAATCCTTTCCAAATTTAATCACTTTCTTTCACCTCTGGTAGTTTCCAGAAACTGACCGTGGTTGGTCCCCTGGGGGAGGGAAAAAGACCCAAGTGCCATCAGTATGTGTGGCACGTGTTGTGAGCTGCCTTTGGAGTGAAAAACTTGTCAGCGCCTTCTAGGTTCAGCCTGGTCCCATAGCTCAGTGGTTAGAGCATTGCTCATGACAAGCAGGGTCCCAGGTTCGAGTCCTGGTGGGTCTGGCGTTTTTTCTCTTTTCAGGCAGTTCACTTCCCCGACTGATCCTTTGAATTTGAAGTTCTCCCAATCCTTTCCAAATTTAATCACTTTCTTTCACCTCTGGTAGTTTCCAGAAACTGACCGTGGTTGGTCCCCTGGGGGAGGGAAAAAGACCCAAGTGCCATCAGTATGTGTGGCACGTGTTGTGAGCTGCCTTTGGAGTGAAAAACTTGTCAGCGCCTTCTAGGTTCAGCCTGGTCCCATAGCTCAGTGGTTAGAGCATTGCTCATGACAAGCAGGGTCCCAGGTTCGAGTCCTGGTGGGTCTGGCGTTTTTTCTCTTTTCAGGCAGTTCACTTCCCCGACTGATCCTTTGAATTTGAAGTTCTCCCAATCCTTTCCAAATTATTATTATTATTATTATTATTATTATTATTATTATTATCTCACTGCACTCGTTGATGCACTATTCCCTCTGTGTATTCACTCCGTATGATATACTCTCTCTATTGTATTCACACCGGTATGGTGGTATGCTTGTCTGTGTGCAGGTTGTTCTATGCATCACCTCAATGTACTGGACCGCTGAAGTGACTCAAGCCATACAGAAACAGGGAGGATTGAAGGTAGGTTTCGCGTCCACACGCTGTGACCAAAATTCAACAAGGACTCGTTGTACATATTTCCCCAGAACAATAAGGGCACACAGGCGTGTGCGCCGGTGCCCTTCAAGGGGGGGGGTTCCGGGGGCCTCCCCAGGGGAAAATTTTCAAAAAATGAAGCAAAATCCTGCATTTTGAGCGAGAAAAAAAAGGGGCTTCCGGGCACCCAGGAACCCATACGGGGCACGCACCTGGCACAAAGCTAGTTTGGCGCTATTCTGAGTTTCATGCTTACACACAAGATCATCAGGTAACCTGAGAATGCCATTGGGCTTGCTGGTATTTATGCCAGGAGAAATAGTTTGTACTCCTCATTGCTGGCCACTTCAGTGAGTATCCGAGGTTAACCATGCATGTTTCCTAAAACAAGCCACATTCCCATTGCTGGCAGGATTCGTATATACTTGATTATATTGTCGCAGCACCTGTCTTTGCTTCCTCCATCAACTAAAGTTCTGTATATCTTAAATGGACCAATCAAGAGTGCAGTCAATGCAGACATGGCCACCGTGCGCAACATTTCTCCAAGCCGACTTTCCGTACCTTTTCTGCAAGATTCTCTCCTCCGCCTGTCGTTCATGCTGATTCAAACTTACAAGGAGTCAAAACATCTCTAATATTATTATGTCAATACCGAGTGACACAACAAACAACAGGAGCAACATGACATACTCACTACAGTTTGCGCAGCTAGTGCACAAGTGTCCGATGCATGAAATCCTGTACGCACACAGCTAAAGTGCGAGGTCCTGTACGCACTATTTGCTATCCACTAGGACAGGTCTATCACTGTACTGTAATAGGACCTGCAGAAGACGTTTTTGATTGGTGCGGCCACACCCTAGTCTTTCATACAGTTTGTGTATGATATGGAGGGTAGTCACATGACTTTCATACAGTTTGTGTATGATATGGAGGGTATACACATGACTTTCATACAGTTTGTGTATGATATGGAGGGTATACACATGACTTTCATACAGTTTGTGTATGATATGGAGGGTATACACATGACTTTCATACAGTTTGTGTATGATATGGAGGGTATACACATGACTTTCATACAGTTTGTGTATGATATGGAGGGTATACACATGACTTTCATACAGTTTGTGTATGATATGGAGGGTAGTCACATGACTTTCATACAGTTTGTGTATGATATGGAGGGTATACACATGACTTTCATACAGTTTGTGTATGATATGGAGGGTATACACATGACTTTCATACAGTTTGTGTATGATATGGAGGGTAGTCACATGACTTTCATACAGTTTGTGTATGATATGGAGGGTAGTCACATGACTTTCATACAGTTTGTGTATGATATGGAGGGTATACACATGACCTCCTCAGCAGTAAACACACATTGGAAGCCAAAACGTTTGTATCCGGCCATGGCCTGACCAACCGGATCAGTTCCGCTGGGCCTGTGTGAGTAGCCTTCTGCATTGCTGGTGTGTTGATGGACTGACAAACAGGTCGGAATAGCATTCAGAGATCTATACTAGTATACAATTCATAATAGCAAGAATTCTCCAGGACGGAGGAGAGAAACTTGCAGAAAAATTATGGAACTTACTTGAAGTACGTTCAAGGAAGAAGCTAAAAGAAGCGAACACACCCACACACACACACACACACGTGTGCACGCACACACACCCACACACACACGTGTGCACGCGCACACACACACACACACACACACACACACACACACACACCCAAACGCGCACACGCACACGCACACACGCACACACACACACACACACACACACACACACAGACATGTGCGCATGCGTAAAACATACCCACATGCGCATGCATGCTCATCTGCATTCCATTTCAAATCGTAACTGGAGTGGCGTGCATGAAAATGTTACATAGTGCGCATAATGCCATTGATATACTAAACACAGTCAGGACCACAGATATCACGAGTTCGATGTTGCAAGACTAATGGATAGCTGATTGGAAGGGTATTTGTTGCCAGTTTCTTGTTGCAGTTATTTGTTTATACTCATTGGTCAAAGACCGAAAATCCCGTTCCCACCACCCACCGCTTTAGAAGCTGCATCTGCACCTTGATTTTTGAGGTCGGTGGCGGTGAAAAACTCAGTCTAATGGTCTCTACAAACCGTGAATTGTTATTGTTTTTATTTTTTCCATACTCACCGCATGTCCTCCAGGCCTATCTGGAGGTTAGCAATCGTCAAATTGACGACATTGTCGAGCTGGTGCGTGGCAAGTTGTCCAAGGGAAACCGTACCACCCTGGGTGCTCTGACAGTACTCGATGTGCATGGTATGTGGAGCCTGTATGGGGGTTGGTAGTGCTGGGGGAAGTCCCTATAGCCGGTGGAGCTGAGCACTTGTTTGTGTTGAATTGTACAGTCGTGGCCAAAGAAATCCACCCCGAGAATCAAGAGTAGCACCTCGTTTCCATTTCATGTACATCATGCACGTTCTCGAAACCGATCCCAGGGCCGCAGGGGTCTCATGAGCCTTGACGCTGCTATTGGCCCGTTTTAAGAAACTGTTACCCCAATGCCTTGCTTTTTCACGCTAGTAATTATGACTTTCAGCTATGCAAAATGCGAACATGATCACCTATCCAATACCGGTAGTCTACTATGTTAATTATTCATATCTTTTTGCATCTTTCCCTCGAGTGGGTCTATTGTTATTAGGCAATTGTCTGTTATAGTCACCACTATAAATAAAAATCCAATCCAATCCAAATTGGCACGTGGGTCGGACTTCCTTGGCCACGACTAAAGTACATACATTATAGTCTTCTTGAGCATTATGAGTACAGTCATGTACTTGTACACCTCGCTGTCCCTCTTGAACCCATGATAAGCCATTGAAACCCATGACTAGCCATTGAAACCCATGACTAGCCATTGAAACCCATGATGAGCCATTGAAACCCATGATGAGCCATTGAAACCTGACTCTATACATCCCTTCCATGCATATATATTCCGCCAGTATGCGAGTATATAAGGCAATGTAATCTTCTAACTGGAAATTGGACTTGCAACTGTGTGTATGATTATACAGCCAGACATCACAAAGCTCAGCCTCTGTGTTTTAACCTCTACTAGTAGTGACAAATTGTCTACCTTGTGCAAGCCAATCTGGGCACTAATCTCTTTTTAGAATCAAGCAGCCCGGCTAGCTCAGTCGGTAGAGCATGAGACTCTTAATCTCAGGGTCGTGGGTTCGAGCCCCACGTTGGGCGCTTACTTTTTTCTTCTTTTTTTCTTCGGAGAAACATGCCTCAACATGCAGATCACGTTCACTCGAACGGTTCCTCCTGGCATTTGCATTGTGTTTTAGGCTGCGTTTACACGACAACGCTGGAGGCGAAAACGCAACGAAGTGCTTTCGGATCCATGGTTCATTTACACGGTACGCGGAGCAAAACGTAAAAGTTGTACACCAAAACAGAAGAAAACCAAAACGCTGGCCAAGGTGGAAGAATTTGAAAACGGAAATGTTCTGCCGGATAAATTTGGGTGTGTAAACAGTCAAAACGGTGTGCTGGCCTTGTTTTCCGTCACGTTTGTTTCGTTTTCGGCCATTTACACGGATCAGACAATCCAAAAAATTGTTTTTACAATTTTCGTCATGTGACGTGTGTTGTTGTGTGCCTGTTTTCTACCATTACTTGAGTGTGATTGGTGCTTCCACGGCAACACTTGGCACATGACGTACTTTGGCGGATCCTTTGCTCTCGCGTAGACGCTTGAAAACGATACAAACGGAGACCACCTCGGATCGGCTTTGATCGTGTAAACGTACGAAAACGAAAAAAGAAATGCGGGACTGAAAACGGAAAACTGGCCGTGCGTTGTCGTGTAAACGCAGCCTGAGAGTTCGTACCGATTTTTCAAGATTGAAAAATGTGGCATACCAAAAATAAAAATTGCGTGACTGTGTTTGTGTGTTCAGCACGTGATGTTGTAGCCAAGTTGACCAAGGATGAAGTGAGCACAATCACAGATTTCCAGTGGATCAGTCAGCTGCGCTACTACTGGGAACGTGATGATTGCTACGTGCACATGATCACAACTAGTCTACGCTATGGCTACGAATACCTGGGTAACACTGGGCGCCTGGTCATTACACCGCTCACTGATCGATGTTACAGGTATGTTCCTTCCAAAGTCCTGCGAAGGGTGGGTGGCTGGGCATTAAGGGGCACCCAAGCTACAGCTTACTACACTAAAACCTGTGTTCGCCGGACCCTGTACCAAGCGGAATCCTGTATTGACTGGACAAATTTGCATGCACCAAAGTGCTGTGGATCTAACGTGCACCAAGGGCGTCCGGTTAGGGCAGGGTCTACTGTACATGCAGATACTAGCCTGGCTGTGAACCAAGGCTTTGTCCCGGGAGCATTCCCGATATTTGTAGATACCTTACAGTCACCAGTGGGTGCTAACCAATAGTTTGTAAGTAATTCTGAATCAGCTCATACTATCCCCACTTCCTAATGCTATTCAATGTGAGTTTGAGCCGAGGCCAGTTTACTGAATCATGCGTGTAGGGCGTCTGGCTTTCACTTGAATTTATACTCAAGCTACATGTAACATCAATTTTTGGTTGCTAGTGCCTGGCATAGACAGTCTGAGGGGAATCCCCAGTTAATGCCTTCCTGGACCTTACCTGCTCTTCTGCACTGTTCTCTAATTCTAAAAACCTTGACCCTGAAACTGTTTCTGTCCTGGTGCTTAGAACATTGATGGGAGCTCTGAAGCTCAACCTTGGTGGTGCACCGGAAGGACCAGCCGGCACAGGGAAAACAGAGACGTGCAAAGATCTTGCCAAGGCTGTTGCAAAGCAGGTAGGTAGCACAGGCTTGTGAGTCATATACAGAGTACTCTAACTGTGATAAGCACTGCGAGGTTTGCACAAGGGTAGATGGCTTTGACGCTAACCAGCAAGAGTACTCAACCAAGCTGAGACGAGGGAGCATAATACCGTATTTCCCCGAATATAAGTCGCACCTTTTACACTTAACTTCAGGCCCAACAAAGGGAGTGGCACTTACAATCGAGGCTGATAATACTACTGACGTGAATATATGAAAATAGTATGACATGGACCTGGAAATAGGGGTGCCACTTACAATCGAGTGCGACCTATA